CAGCCGCTCCGAGGCGGCGGCGGCGCCGAGCGGCGGCCTGCACGCCTACCTGGCGGCCAACGAGGAGGCCGACGCCTTCGAGGCGCTCAGCAGCAGGACAGAGCCAAGCGCTGCGGCGGACTTGGCTGGGCCCGACCGAAGGACTGGCAGTCCTCAGCCCAGCCAGGGGCCCATAAGGAATCGTGGGTACCCAATTCAAGTTGACGAGGCTACGGGCGAGGGCGTGAGACCCCCTGAGGTTCGGAGCCCCAAGGCGGCGAGCAGCCGCCCGCCTGGCGGCCGCGCGGCCGCCGCGGCAGCCGCGAAGCCTGCGGCCCAGCCCCAGCCTGGGCGACCGCAGGCCAAGCCCCTTCAGCTGGCCAAGCTGATCAGGCCTGCGGGAGCGAAGCGAGCCAGCTTCGTCACGCTGAACGGCTCGACCTGGTCAGCGACGCAGGTGGAGCTGGAGCGGATCCAGGACGATGGAGGAGGCGACGACGTCATCCTGGTGCAGGAGACGCGCTTCACCTCCAGCCAGAAGGTGACTGACGCCTGCAGCTGGGCCAGGCGCAACGGCTTCAACGCCGCCTTCGGCAGCGTCCACAGCACGGGGCAGGCGGCGCAGGCGGTCTCGGCGGGAGTCGGGGTGCTGGCGTCAACGACCAGGGGCGTGGCGGCGATCGACCACGACTGGCACCAGCACAGTGCCCGCATCCTGGCCCGACGGGTGGCCTTTGGCGATCTCGTGGTCACGGTGGTCAGCGCCTACCTCGTGCACTCGACCAGGATGGCAGGCCACAACCTGGAGCTGCTGTCGGACCTCCAGGAGTTCCTGCTCAGCCTCCACGAGCCGTTCATAGTGGGGGCCGACTGGAATATGGACCCCAGCGTCCTCGCCGCCTCGTGGTGGCCACGGGCTGTGGGCGGAGTGGTGGTAGCGCCCACGACCTTCACCTGCGGCGACCAGATCTACGACTTCTTCGTGGTCTCCACGGCGCTCGCTGGCCTCAGCCCGAAGGTGGAGGTCATCAAGCCCACAACCCTGCACCCGCACGCGCCAGTGCGGCTCACTTTCAGCGAGCTGGGCAGCAACGCCATGATCTAGGTCCTCAAGACCCCCAGGTTCTTTGACGTGGGCTCGGAGGTCTCGGCTGAGCAGCGCGAGAAATCCCTGCAGGCGGCGACCCAGATCAGCTGGTCAGCCCCCCTCACCGACAGCGACGGCACGCCCGACGCGGCGATCAAGGAGTTCTTCGAGGCCGCGGAGCTCCACCTGATCGACCAGTTCGGCATCTCCGAGGGTGAGAGGTACCAGGGCAGGGCCAAAGGACCCCGCACCGTCAGGAAGAAACTGGCGGACCTGCAGCGCACGGAGGCTGTCAGGAAGCTCAGCCCCCTCACCAAGTGCTGGCTCTGCCTCGGGAGGATCGCCAGGCAGCTAAGTGCGGCTGCTGCGGTCTGTTCACCCCCTGTGGGGCACGTGGGCTACATGAAGCACCTGGTGCAGGTGGCCAAGAGCTTGGGGCCCAAGTTCGAGCAGGCGGGCTGCGCCATGTTCGAAGGCACGAAGCTCGACTCGCTGATCGAAGTGATCCAGGAGCCCACTGGGCAAGGGCAGGCCTTCCTGCAGGTGGTCGAGAGCACGACGGCGAGACACTGCAAAGAAGACGCCAAGGCGGCCAGGCTGCGCTGGAAGGACTTCGTGGACCAGGCCTTGGCGAAAGGGGCGAAAGGAGCCCACGCTGTCATAAAGGACCGCGGCCAGGTGCTGGACTCGGTGATCGCGCACTGCCCCGACAGCCTGCCGCTCCCTGTTGTTGGCCAGCAAGCCCTGGACCAGATCCTCATAGAGTGGAAGGCCCTTTGGAAAGGAGCCGACGGGGGGCACACGACCAGACCAGCCGACTGGATCTGCTCCATGGAGCTGCCCCCGATCACGGCGGACGACATCCTCGAGGCGGCGAAGTCGTTCCCGAAGCAGACCGCTCTGGGCTGGGATGCGTTCCACCCGCGGCTGGTCCTCTCCCTGGGCAGGCCCTTCGCCGAGAGGATGACAGAGGTGCTCGCGGCTTGGGAGCAGCAGCCGCAGCCCACAGCCCTCTTCACCACGGTGATCGTCTTCCTGGGGAAGCCAGACGGAGGCCGCCGCCCGATCGGCCTCATGAGCATGTGGATGCGCATCTGGAGCAGGGTGCGCCGCCGCTACTGCGCCAAGTGGGAGGCGGACCACCCGCTCCCCGAGGTCTGGGGCAAGGATGCGAACACCAGCTGTGACAGGGCGGCCTACCTCCACAACCTGGGGCTCGCGCTCGCCCGCCAGCTCGGCTTCGAGGCAGCCTCCGTCTACTTCGACATCAGCAAGTTCTACGAGCGGATCGACCACGACCTTCTGCGCCAGGCCGCGGAGGGCAGCGGCTTCAGCGTCGGCCTGCTCAGGGCCCTCTGCGTAGTCTACGCTGGGCCGCGCCGAGCCTCGGCGGACGCCGCCATCAGCGAGCCCATTGAGGTCAGCGGCACCATCATCGCGGGCTGCTCCTGCGCGACGACGCTGGCCAGGCTCATGCTGCACGGCCTCCTGCTCCAGGCCAGGGTGCTGCTGCCCGTCGGCAGGGTCGTCAACGTCATCGACGACATAGCAGGCCACGGCATCGGGTCGGCGGCGACGCTCAGCCGAACGATCACGAGCTTCGCCAGCGGCGTGGTCGAGATGCTGGCGGACAGGCGGCTGCCCATCAACTGGACGAAGACGAAGGTCTTGGCCTCCACGGTGGGCCTCCAGCGCCGCCTGCAGCAGGAACCCGACTGGCAGCTCGCGGCGGAGGCCTTCGTCTCGGGCCACCGCGACCCCGGCGTCGATGCCACGGCTGGCAGCCACAGGCGAGTTGCGACTCAGGTCGGCAGGGAGCTCGCGGCGCTGCGGCAGGCCAGCAGGCTCCACAAGATATTCGGGCCTGGCCTTCGGCAG